AACATAATGGCATATTTTCTACTGTCTAAAATGAAGCAGATTTGCTTATTTTTTAAAAATGGCTATATTTTTAAAACTTAAAAAAATGAAGTTGTAATTTTAGCTTCCACTCTTTTTGCTGAATAGAATTCACTTAGTAAAAATTATTTTTATTTCAAAATGGGAGAAGCTCCCCATTTTCTAAATGATATTTTAATCAAGCAATACATACTGAAGGAGAACATAAGAGTTTTACCAAATATATGTTTTGTGAGTTCAAAGTCTAAAGCTAGCAAAAGGTTAGCTTACTCGAACTACAACATGTCTAAGGTTTGGTCTGAATCTCATAACCAACTTTGCCTTGAGTCATAAAATGTCTTATTGCATTATCTTATCTAACTTCTGATGCTTTAGAATTATAATCCTCACATTTCAATCTTTGTTGAATATGAAGCTTCTTTATCACATTGCATTCACATTATCCATCAAGCTATCTACATTTACTGAGAACCAATTATTGTATGTGTCATGGTCAAATAAATTTGTATTTAGGGTACAGGTATATAAATGGTTTTTGTTTCAGATCTATATGCTGCAAAGTTGAGTAGATTAACCTGTTGCTTTAGATCAGCTATATTCAATCTTTCGGCTTTCCTGGGCCACATTGGAAGAAGAATTGTCTTGTGCCACACATGGAACACACTAACACTGATGATAGTTGATGAGTGAAAAAAAAGTCACACACGAAAGATCTCAATGTTTTAAGTACGTTTACAAATTTGTGTTGGGCCACATTCAGAGCCATCCTGGGCCACATGTGGCTCATGGGCCATGGGTTGGACAAGCTTGCTTTAGACCATAACAATTACCTCCTACAAATCACCTTTATTTGCTCTATCCTCCAACTTAATCTACATGTTATTGGCTGAGTTCAGTTGACAATTATCATTTAGTGGTTGGTCAGAACCATTTCCTTCTTCTATTGACAGTAGACCCCAGTTTCTATTCAGGAGAATTGCCTTTCCTTAATTTTGAGACTTTGGGAGAAGAGGGATTTAAACAAGAGTTTTCTGCTCTTCTAGCTCATGTATTAACATGTGACCCAAGCAAGGTGAACTGGACTGTCTTTTAAGACTTCAAAATTTGAACAGAGTTACACAGGATGGAAAAAAGAGAGTATCACAAAGAACCTGAAATAGTTTTTGTTAACCACATGCCCAGGAAGGCATGCTCAGATCTTTTTCCTTTTGTAAGCTTCATTCCATTGCCTTTGTGCTGATCACAGCACATTTACTTTCTGCTTGATTTAATCAGAGACTGATCTCTGTTGCTTGCACCCAGAGAGCCCTACTTGATAGGTAACTAAACTGTATTTGATGATTTTATTTTCCTGTTTACAATCCTTTCAGGGTTGTCTCTGCCTGTAGGCCATCATCAGAATTCTTCAGTCTGGCAACAAAGGATTCCCATTATTTAGCCCCAGTTCTTTCTATCCAACCTCATCAATTTCTTCCTCATCATATACCCTTAACTTCAGCCATATGGAATCACAATTCCTATAACATACGCTGTGGTTTTCCATCTCATTGAAAAGCACAGTCTGTTCCCTTTGCCTGAGTTGCCCTTCTCATTTTATCTAGCTGTGTAATTCAAACTCATTCTTTAATGCTTGGCTTAAGTTTTATCTACTTCAGGAACATCTCACTAGCATCTGTTCTCTTTCCTGGCTTAGTTTTCCCTGAAGAAAGTCCCAAGAGCATCACTCACCCAGTATCAGGGAAGTTGAAAACTATGAGGTTTAAGTGAGAGGACTCTGGAACCAGACTGCTTGAGTTCAAATCTCATCACTGTTTCTTTCCTCCTAGCTCTTGGGCAGGTTATTATGCTTAGTGTGCCACTGTATCTACCTCACAGCGATGTTGTAAGCATTAAACAATTCACAGGAAGTACTTAGATCAATGACTGGCATATCATTAGTGCTAAACATGTGTTAGCTATTCTCCTAGAATTTCTCTCTATCATAGTGTTATTACTGCTTTTCTTCCTTCAACCTCTTTTACCTGCATATTTTATCTTGTGCAACTTCATATTTCTCAGGTACTTAGTGGCAATTCAATAAAAGTTGGTTAAAATAATAAAAATGAATAGGCGATAGTAAAGTTTTTTTAGTTTATAAAGCCCTTTTGGAATTTTGCCTAATGTTTCACACATCAAACGTTAAAGTTGAGATTTCTTTATTTAACACTTTATATAAAATCAATATTTATTTCCTGAAATTATAATAAAATCTGCCCCAAACTTACTTCTCCTTATCTTCTCTCCCACACACATTTATTTAATGATGATTTAAGACCATTTTACTCACAACTTGGTGATTGAAGCTATCAAAGCCAGTAACTGATGATGTCTTTATGAATTACTTTTTAATGTAAGAGGAAGGGGCAGGAAAAGCATCTCCCTATTCAGCAAGCAAGAGAAGGGACATTAGATTTTTAAATAAAATATATATGTACATTATATATCATTATATATAGTAATATACTATATATAATATTTTTATAATATTTATTTATATATATTATATAATTTATAAATTCTGTATTTTTGTGTCTCAGAAACAGCTTTTGATTTGATTTTTTTCCTCTATATTAATTTTTTTTAGAATCTCACTCTGTCACTCAGGCTGGAGTGCAATGGCACAATCTCAGTTCACTGTAACCTCCACTCCAGGATTCAAAGTGATTCTCCTGCCTCAGCCTCCCCAGTAGCTGGGGTTATGGGCATCTTCCACCACACCAGCTAATATTTGTATTTTTAGTAGAGATGGGGTTTCACCATGTTGGTCAGGCTGGTCTCAAACTCCTGACCTCAAGTGATTCACCCACCTCAGCCTCCCAAACTGCTGAGATTGCAGGGCTGAACCACCGCATCTAGCCCTCTGTTAATTTTTGACCTATATTTAAAGACAATCTTTGTGAGGGGGCATCAAATTAGCAGTCCTTTCTGAAAAAAAATTCATTGGAGAACTCTGTAGACTACTGAGCATGTCAGTGGCTTCCCTAAATGCTGGACTCACAAACCTGTCACAAGGAAGTGTGGACTTTCTCTCCCAATCTGTTATCAGGTAACTTGTACAGGAAGCTATAATGTCAATGGTAGAATAGGGTACAGAAGTAGAAACAAGCTCTCATTTCCACATAATATGATAATGTGATATACAGTTTGCATGATACAAATGCCATCATTGGTTAGATTTCTAGAGTTCGTGGTAGAACCAAATATAATTACTAACGTTTGTTCAATACTAGCAGTAAGCAGTAAGCAAGGTAAAGTAGGAAGTGTTTTCATGTACTAACCAACTTAATCCTGATAACAAACTGCAAGGCAGGTGGTACAACTATCTACATTTTACAGATAGATAAACTTGGGCTCATGGAGGCTGAATAACTTTCCCGAGTCACACAGCTTGGGAGCCAAGCTTTGAACCCAGACAACCTAACTTCAAAATCTGGGATTTAAACATGATAAGATGTTGCTTCCTTTGGTAACTACAAGTCCTGGGACTACTGTATAGCTTAATATGGTTTTGAGAAAGAATATACCTCTTTTTTCTGTATTCATCAGTACATAGCAACTATAAAATGCTTAGCATAGTGTCTAAAATAGACTACATACACATATACATACAAATCACTAAACAGTAATTACAGTTACAGTTATTACTTACAGGCAGTTAATGTAAAGTAATAACAGGCTAAGGAATCAAACGGACTTACATTTGAATCCTTGTCCTGCCACTTACTGGGATTTTGACATCTATGAACCTCAGTTACTTTTTCTGAAAAATGCGGCTACAATTACTTTTTATAAAGCAGAAGTAAAGCAAATTTTATGTACATATATGTGATATTTACATCTACTTATTTACACCTATATCCATAATTATACGGTGAATGTGAATGTGTACTCTGTGTGCTCTGTACTCAGAATATGAAACCAAGATCCAGAGATGGCTTGACCACAATAGTCATTTGCAAATGGCACTGATTTCAGGTCTTCTGTGTTCAAGCACAAGGTCTTTAAATGTAGGTTGTTTACTATCAAACTATTTTTATTTCTACTGAATTGCTGAAATTTATTTTACAAAGTAATTTCCCTTATTCTTGCTGCCTCACTTGTAGTTTTTTCAAAAGGTAGTACTTGAGCACTGAAATACCTTCAGCACAACTTTCTATTTCTCCAAAAAGGCTTGAAAGCTGTTATAAGTGAAAAAACTTCAATGTAAAACAATTCCATAATTATTTTTCTTAACAGTTAACAAATATAAAAGATGTATAATATATTTGATCTAGCTAGGTAAACGATATTTACATCAATGTATTTTAATATTCCTAGTTGATATCATAAATTGATTACACTGAGGCTGAAAATGCACTACTTGTATTAAAAACTATTATTTTGAACATGGCTTTGCATAAATGCCAACATTAAGATCTAGGATATTTAAAAATATCTTATGTTTTGTTACTTTTCTCATTTTAATTTATGGCTATCTTTCAATTATCCTTATCATTGGAGGAGGAAAATTGGCACAGACAACTTAGATGAGAGGACAGTAATCAATTCCCAGACTTTTACATTTGATTCTGCAATATGTTGTGGCTGCATAGTGCCAAAACAACCAGTTTAAATGTAAATAGCTCAGTTGAGTGACTTATTTGTTATAAAATATGTTTTTAAAATACCAGGTTGTTTAGTAAATTTAACTCAGCCAACTATTCTTGTAAGATTTCTGTTTTTTTTTTTTTTGTATGTATCCTTTTTAATGTATGGCTACTTAGTTAATTGCATTAATTTATATCTTTGATTATACTTAGGCTGAATAGAGAGTAATGTGTTTTCTGACAGAGAAACAGTTGCCTAAGAACTGGTGGGAAATGTCCTAGGAGAGTAAAGTGATTAGTGGGAAATATTCATTTTAAAGGAAAACTTCTGCCAAATTTTATCTTTTTTTCTCTTACCTTCTGCTTGATGATCATCTCGTTGATATCCTCAAGGTCACCCACCATCACCCTCTGTGATTTTATAACGCGATCAAGCAGAGAAAGCCATTCAGTAAGTTCTGTCCAAGCCCGGTTGAAATCTGCCAGAGCAGGTACCTCCAACATCAAGGAAGATGGCATTTCTAGTTTGGAGATGGCAGTTTCCTTAGTAACCACAGGTTGTGTCACCAGAGTAACAGTCTGACTAGAAGCTAAAATATTTTGGGTTGTTTGCAAAAAGGAAAAAAGAAAAAAAAGAAAAATTAGAAACAGAGCAAAAGAGTCAATTTCAATAACAGTAAGTCAAATTTGATTGAAGAGCAACAATTTGAGCCAAACTCTTATTCATGACATTATGTATCTTTTTCTAGCAATGTGGATACTTTGTTTAGCAATACATGGTAGAAAATTTAAAGATTCAACCTTTTCATTGATATACATTTAACATTAAAAAAAGATTTTGCTCATTCTAATGCCTGGACAAGTAATTTAATTTAAATAAGTCTTCTCATTAATAATAATATACATTGTGGAAGTGGTAAAGAAAACAAAAGTTTTCAATCCTTGCCAGGGCAATATATTTTACTTGGGTTATTATTATTATTCTAGAAATATAAGGCAAAACAAGATTGAATAAGATCTTCTTTCTGACTTATGATTTCCTTGAATAGGAAGTAAATTACTTTGGAGCTGGACCCTAGGGAAATCAAAGTCAATGAAATGTTCTTGTCTTAGCTCTGTACTTTATACTGGGAGCAGTTTATCATCTTTTAAAAAATTTCAGACTAGTATAGTGACTAGCAGTGAAAAATTCCAAGGTACAACATTTGAAAAAAGTGAGAGCTAGTAGTTTTACTATTTAGACATGAAACACTGTTTCAAAGTCCTTCAATAAATCTTAAATTAATACTAATAGTATTGGACACTGCAGAGAAAGTCATCCTATGATAATGGTTAAGATGTATAGTCCTAGAATTCAAATGCCTGGAAGACAATTCAGTGTCTGCATTATGAACTCTAGGACCTTGGTTAAGTCACATAACTTCTCAAAGTTTCAGTTCTTCTCAGTAAAACAGGAATAATAATGAGGTAAATGTCAAAAAGGTAGTGTAGATTCAATGAGTAGTACAAGCAATGTATGTATGACAATGCCAGAAACAGCAACATAATCGTCACAACAATATTATTACAGTGCCTGACACTGGTAGGTAACTAATAATGTTATTACATATTACTGTTTTTATAAACACTTGGCCAATAAGAAACAGAGTGATGAACAACTGTGGTGAGAAGCTGGAGATAAAGCCCCAAAATGTGACATATTTGGGGAATAGTGAGTCAAAAGTGTGTGTGTGGCCTTATATTGATTGAAAAGGGCTGAACTTCCTGGTGTGGACTGATGCTAAATACCAACACACAGCTGGGTTATCAGAGTTGAGTGGTGAGGGGAAGGAATGCTCAATCAAGTTCATAGACAATGGCCTCAGGAGCATAATATAACCAGGAGACTGGTGGCAAAATTATTGGACTATGTAGTTTGGAATAAAAGGTTTCAAGAAAAGCTGCAAAAGACATCTCAACAGGAGACTCAGAGGCATGGACAACCAGGAAACTATTCTAAGAACATAAATGAAAAATGAGACGTCGAATTTTTGTTCTGAGGTAGCCATTCATTAATTGTCACGGCTATGTAACTGTGCTTTAAAGTTTGTTTCCTCATTAGAGAAGAAGATGAGTAGAATGGAAGAAGGCTTCTTACCTCTCAAGATTCTCAGGGACACCAACAGTTTTCTATGAATGAAGGAACTAATCTTGATCAATGTAGATAGAAAAAGATAGTGGTGGTGTTTTTTTTTTTTTTTTTTTTTTTTTTTTTTTGAGATGGAGTTTTGCTCTTGTTACCCAGGCTGGAGTGCAATGGCGTGATCTCGGCTCACTGCAACCTTCGCCTCCTGGGTTCAGGCAATTCTCCTGCCTCAGCATCCTGAGTAGCTGGGATTATAGGTATGTGCCACCACCCCCAGCTAATTTTTTGTATTTTCAGTAGAGATGGGGTTTCACTATGTTGACCAGGGTGGTCTCGATCTCTTGACCTTGTGATCCACCTGCCTCAGCCTCCCAAAGTGCTGGGATTACAGGCCTGGCCCAAAAGATACCGTTTTAAGTGTCAGAGAGAATTAAAAATTTATGTCAAGAAATACTGATTGAAAGGCAGTAACACTGAGGCAATAAAGACATTCTCAAAGCTATCTGACTATTCTAAGGCTCTTTCTAGAAAGAATTAAATATAATGTAAAAAAGGAATAGTATTTTGTGTCACAGTCCAGAAGAAGAAATCACGGAAGCAAACAAGATCTAGAAATCTTAAATGGATTCCAGGAAAGGAGCTAAATCTCCAGAGAGGATGCATGTGTGAGGATGAAAAGAGAGCTAAATTAAAATATCAGTGTAGGAACTAACTGCAGAACAAACACCAGGCTGACTGGCAAATGTGGACGGAGTGTTCCTAAAATAGATACACAATGTATACTGATGCAATACACAGCAGTTTAGAAGGATTTCAAGCTTATGGGAAGTGTCAGAAAATGCTTTTTAAAAAAGTGACTTATTGAAAATTTGACCCTCAAATGAGAGCAGAAACAAGAGATTTTTTTTTTCTCCAGACTCGCTTCTGACCATGAAAGAAGTACCTAATGAAGTGGAAATGATCACATCATATTAAATTTCAACAGAGTGAAGGATGAGAAACTAGAAAATTATCAGACTTCAACAAGCAGACTACTATTTCCTGAAAAGTATGTTTGGAAAAGGAAGGAAGGAAGGAAGTAAGGAAGGAAGGAAGGAAGGAAGGAAGGGAGGGAGGGAGGGAGGGAGGGAGGGAGGCAAGCAATGAGGGAGGGAGAGAGGAAGTCAGGCAGTGAGGGAGGGAGGGAGGGAGGAAAGAAGGGAGGGAGGGATGGAACCTATTGAAAAGCAAGGACAGGGCCTAAGACTCAAAAACGGAGAATGATTCGTGATGATAAAATATGCCACTGGGACGATAAATTAGCTGAAGCATATTCAGAGGAAGATGGAGAGGTCTAGCAATCAGCCATCTCTGTGCCAGTAATGGGCACATAATCCCATCTATAGACCCATCAGGCCAGTATTTCTGGTCTTCTGTCCTCCAGCATTCACCACCTGAAGAACATTTGTATACTGATGGGAAAGGGAGGAGAAACCTTATCAGTTTTTCTTGCTACTCCAACTCTTGCATCTTGCACATGTCCTGGAGTATAGGAGGTGCTCTATTGACTCCCTTGAATCTTAAAAAAAGTCAATGTGCAGTAAGCTCTTTAGTGAACTTAGAGGTCTTCTACACACAGTGATTATTAAAATTTAACAACCACCTATTAGTATGAAAGAATAGAGGCTAGAACACAAAACATGCCTAGGTTTTATACCAGTTAGGTGATTTTAGCTATTTTCACAAGAAGAAGATAATGGAGGAAGACCCACTGCTGGGGGAAGACAATGAAAGGTCAAATATTAAAGAGAGGAAATACAGTAAGTCAATTTGTTTGCCCCCAACCCCACACACATACATCTTTTTCTGTTGGAGGGAGAAAAGCATGAAATAGCTCTGAATCTGAAAGCAGAGTATAGAATATTTAGGCTTTCTAGGACCAGACTATTGGATTTGAATCCTTGCTCTATAATTTTTTTTTTAGCTGTGTAACTTTAGTTAGGTGACTTAACCTCACTAAATCTCCATTTACTCCTCTGTAAAATAGTGATTGTAATAGTACTTCATTCATAGACAATTGGCCTTACTATTTCCTAAATAGACAATCTTGGAAAGTTAATGAGATTGGAGGCATCTTGAGGTAAGGAATTACACTACACCTGCTAAACTCAACATCTTGACCCTCAAGAGTTTTCACCTGTGTAACTTTGAAAACAGTACCAATCTAATGCGATTGTGTTAGGGATTTTATGACATGATACATGTAAGTTACCTCCTAGGATTGTTACTCTATGTAGACTACATGGATTTTTTTCTTCTCCTTTTCCCTGTGTTTCTCACACAATGGTTATTGGCTCTGCATCTACATTCATAAAGCATTTTAAGCTCTGTACTCCGAACCAGACTTCACACTCCAGACTTATCTTCCTCCATTCTTCCCAGGCTCCTCCACACCCATGTCTATTCTGCAACCTCTCACAAGTACAGGCCATTTCAAACTCTTGTGTCCTTTCACACACTTTCTATACTTCTTGAAAACTTTTCTCTTGTGTTTCCAGACAAAATCTCATTTTTTCTTCAAATGTCAACTCTAGATCTCTATGTTTTGGGGAGGACAGAATAAGAAGTGTATAACTAACATGTCTCTATGAAGAACAGAATTACACCTTCCTTTTGGGTCCTAAACATTTTTAGTTTTTAACATTTTCTTACTTAAATCTAGTTATCACTAGGATGGACAAAATCTTGCACCACTATTAGGTTTGGGAGGATTTTGAAAGTTTGCCTAGAGGATAGCCGATAGTAGCTGAGAGCTGGATTCTAAAGTCAGAAATTTTGGGTCTCAAGGAACATACTTAATATTTTATTTTATTTATTTATTTTTGAGACCGAGTTTCACTCTTTTTGCCCAGGCTGGAGTGCAATGGCATAATCTCGGCTCACTGTAACCTCTGCCTTTTGGGTTCAAGTGATTCTCCTGCCTCAGCCTCCTGAGTAGCTGGGATTATAGGCATGTGTCACTACGCCCAGCTAATTTTGTATTTTTAATAGAGATGGGGTTTCTCCACATTGGTCAGGCTGATCTCGACCTCCCGACCTCAGGTGATCTGCCTGCCTTGACCTCCCAAAGTGCAGGGATTACACGCATAAGCCACCAAGCCAGGCCTACACTTTAAAACATAAAGTAGTAAGAGGCTAATCTTAATCTACCTCACATATTAGAGCCAATTCTATTCAGAAAAACATTGCTTTGATTCACATTAACTCATACTGCACTTTCAGATGCCTTCACCTTTAGCTAATAAATATTAGGCTCATTTTTTGCACTTTGTCATGGTATTAGAAATATATGCAAATCACCTTTTTCAGTAAAGTGTAGGCTGGTCAGATCTGTTAGTGGTTTTGCAGAGTCTGAGTATCGTGTACATAGTTCTAAGGGTCAGGCAAGGATATATCATGGTGCCAATGTTATTTACTGTTAACTTG